GGGATTCTAATTCATTCAGGGTTGAGAACCACAGATACAATGCTTTCCAATTTTGTCTCAATTGCATTAGGGCCAGCACTCAATTTTTATGAAAATAATAAAATTACCATGTAATAAAACAATTACACAAGCAATCTGTCACACAGAAACACTGCTAAGATTGAACTGTTGACCTTCATGATTATTAACTAAAATCTTCCTCTGTCAACTCATGTGTGAAAAATTAACTTAATACATGAAGGACTCCCAAATCCACGATGGCTCCTGTCTCACTCATAGTCAAATACACGTTTTGTACAATGGCCCACTAGAGCTATACTCTTCCTTTTACATCTCTGATGTCATCTCCTGTACTCTTCCTTGCTCACCTCTGCTACAGCCCACTCATGTCCTCACTCTTTTGAATGGGCCAGGTGTGTTCCCATCTCATGGGCTTTCTGTTAACCACCCCTCCTGGAATGTACTGTCCCAGATACCCAACTAGCTGAGGTCCTCATGCCTTCCAGTCTATTCTTCAAATGACACCTTTGTAATCAGAATTCACTGAAAACATATTTAGAACTTGACACCCACACCCTACATATGTACCGAGCATTCAGATCCCTATTGCCCTACTTAATTTTTCCCTCAGCTTCCAACACTATAGCATTTACTCCACGATCATGTTTATTTTGTTAATTGCAAGTCTTCTACTACTAGAATGTATGCTCCACAAGGACAATGATCTTTGTTTCATAAAGATCTTGGTATATTCCACTAATATGTCTCAATTTTTCGATAAAGTGCCTAATACATAGAAACCACTCAATACATTTTGAGACAATACATACATTATGGTTAAATGAATAAATGAAATGCCTATCTAGATCTCTAACACCCAAATTCTGTTCAGTTCCTTGGACAGGACTCTTAACTTGTCCTGCAATTATTTCAGGCTTCCAGACTTGTGCCTTCCAATCCAGTACTTGCCTATTGTCTAAGTCTGAAGGGAAATCATAGCACACAGTATGATTCTGCTTTTGCTATTCTGTAGAAATTACAAAAAGAAAAACTGAACCAATTACTCCATCAAAAAGATATTGTTAGTGCTACAAATTTTGAAGATATTTCATGATACCCTCATAGCTTCATTATAGCCTGTTTTATATCTTGGATCTTATGTTTTGAGGGATTGAGGAGCTTTTCTCACACAGAAGTGTTTGGACTATTTGAAGGCAGAGTGCAACTAATGACTGGATATTGTCTATACATATTGTCTACAGCTCTGGGTTCCACACTCACTGGGCAAAATTCTCATCCAACTATTTATGTCTCACCCTGATTTTATCTCAAATGCAAAACATGATGGAGATGGAGAACTCTTGGCATTAATCCTCATTTCTTATTACTTCGAATTAATAGGTTTTATCTCACCTTCCACTCCTGACTCAAAATCACCCCAAGAAAGCAAAGCTACAGAAACCCTTTGGAAGCAGCAAAATCCATCCTCTCAGAAAAATAGTATTATTTTAATATTTTATTTTCTCCTTTTTCCCATCATGAGCATGAGGTTGATCTGAAGATGAGACAACAACTTAGAGGCCCCTGCTGGCTGACTGGAGTTTTCCAATTTCAATATGTAGTTTTAGGGAGAAAAAGTCGTCATATAAATTCACCTTCAGCAAAATGAGAGAAAGGCGGAAATTGGAGTCAAAGCTAGATGGCTTTGAGAACATGGGCTCTTTTCGCTCTCCCAGGTTGGACATATTATTGAGGAGCCTTTTAGTGAAATTACAAAGCTCTCATGTGGCCCTCTCCTACTCATCTGTAGATGGCTGAGGCAAGAAGAAATTATGTGAAGCCATAAAGTATTGACTTTTCAGTCTGTGAGGTTTTTTTTTTCCTTCCATTCAGCTGCATTTGCCCTTATGAAGGCATCTTTCACCTAATTTGTTGGAAGTGGCCATTAAGGGCATGATGGAGAAGGCAGAGAGGAAGAAAACATTCTTATTATTAAGGCTATGAAAATTGAAACCTAAAAGTAAAGATGACCAGTATTATCTGGACACTGGCCCCTGGAAAGCTCTTATTCCTGATCAACTGAGAATGGCTGAGTGGGCAGGAATAATATAGAAATAGAAGTCTTGCTACGGCCGTCTCAAACTCTGTCATGCAAGTGACCCAGAATGTTTTCACCTGTAGCCTTGGCAGGTGACGGGGGCAAGGATCGACTGCTCAGATTGAACAGTGACCCTGAAATCTGTAAATAAATATGCAAAGATGGGAGGGGAGCTTGCTCTAGGAACTCCCTTTTCTGTTCATTGAATGTCATCTGAAAGTCTTCCTAATTCTGTGAGAATCCTTAATGTTGGTGACTCTGGGATTTGGTGTTTTCTCTTAGGGAGAACTGGAGCTTAGTTTATATATGTATATATATATATATTTTTTTTCCTTAGTTGTTGATGGACTTTCATTTATTTATTTATATGTGGTGCTGAGAATCGAACCCAGAGTCTCATACATGCTAAAGCAAGCGCTCTACCACTGAGCCACGACTCCAGCCCTCTGGAGCTTATTTTTTAAATGAGATTTAATAATTTTGCACAACTACCTTGGTCTTCTAAGGATATTCTATTTGTGTGTGTGTGTGTGTGGTGGGACTGAAACTCAGGGATTCCTATCTTCCAGGCAAATGCTCTACCACTGAGCTACAACCTCAGTCCTTGGGTCATTTTCTGTTTTTTTTTTTTAAATTTTTTTATTAATGTGTTATAGCATAATAATGGGGCTCACTGACATGTTTATAAATGCATTCAACAATTTGCTCCATTTGAATTCCCAGTACTTCCCCTTTCCCTCTCCTCTTGCCTCCTCCTCTTTCCCTTTCTTTACTCTAATATCTTCCTTCTATTTATTTATCATTTTTAAACTGGTGCATTATAGTTATACATAAAAGAGGAATTCACGGTGATATATTCATACATGCATATAGCATGTATGAATATGGAGGATTAGTATCTAGAATAAATAACGAATTCATAAAACATCAAAAAATTAATGGGCAAATGAACTAAACAGACATTTCTCAAAAGAATAAATGCAAATGGCCAACAAGTACATTTTTAAAAAGGTTGACATTGCCAGTATCAGAGAAATGCAAATCAAAACTACACTGAGATCTCATTTCTCCCCAGTTAGAATTATATCACGAATAGGATCTATATTGTTGGTGGGACTACAAATTAGTACAACCACTTAAGAAAGTAGCATGGAGATTCCTCACAGTATATTTAATGAGCCAAATTGGCTTTTGAGATTCTCTCACAGACCACTCCAGGGCAGAGTGAGGGATGGCTGTAGCTGAAGAAGGCCTTGATAACATCTCTTTGGTCACTACTGGTAGGACATCACCTCTTCGTCCTACAACTCAAGCCACAAACAAAGCTTCAAGAAGTTCTGTCACCACACGAGTTTTCTATTATTCTCCAGAGTATGCAGACTGCTTTCCTTTGGTACCCCAGTATCAGATCAGATCACATTGACCTTGAGCATGGACACCCCACAGTGATACAACTACTGCAAATGATGTTCATTCAAAGTGAAAGGAAAATTGTGCTTGGATGGTTTCATCTCAGGCAAGTCACAACCTCAGAGTAAGGTTTCTGGAGCTGCAATGTCTCTGGAGAACAAGAAGGAAAAACTATATTTTTGTCATCGAATCTTTACTATGAGAAGGAAACAATGAAGAGCTAATCCAATTTGGTCATTTCAGAGGCAAGAAAATGAGACTTGGAGAGATGAAGTCATTTCCCCAGTCACCTAGACCATATATACTGGAGTTGGGGAGGAAGGAGCTCATGTTCCCAGCCCTGTGCTGGTTTTCTTTCCACTGAATCATGACAGCCCTTGCCATGCATTATTAATCTTTTAGAGAATCTCTTTCATCCTCATGTGTGGGGGGAAAGGGCTCTCACACTGGGCCTAGGCCACATTTACCCCAAAGAGACAGACATACCTGTCCATGTCCCAAGGCCTAGTAGCATATGTCAGCCAAGGATTTATTTGTAAAAAGAACCACAAATTTTGCTAATTCATTCATTCTGAGGAGGCATGAACTAAGCATCCACAATAGAACTAATAAGAATGTCTTACACTCAATGAAATAAGTATTTCTGTCAGTCAGTGAGCATCTTTCAACTCAGTCACTATAGATTTTATTCTCAAGTCCCAGAGTAGCAACTAAATTTTCATAAGAATTAGCTTAACAGCAAAAATCAGGGAACAGGACCGGGGTTGTGGCTCAGAGGTAGAGCGCGTGCCTCACATGGATGAGGCACTGGGTTTGATTCTCAGCACCACATATCAATCAATAAATAAAGGTCTATCAACAACTCTCTCTCTCTCTCTCTCTCTCTCTCTCTATATATATATATATATATATATATATATATATGTATATATATATAAATTTTATAAAGTTAAAATTATATGACTGGTTGTACCTTTCTGTGCCTTTTGCCACAAATGAGGGAGAGACGGCTTGTTGCTAGAACCAGTCCTTTGGCTCATTCAAGAACTATTTTTTGCTCATTGTATGGTCATTTCTATGGAAGAAATCTCTTTTTGGACATGAGCCAGAGTTGCCAGAGGGACGGTTGAGCCACAGAACCTCACAAAAGACTTCTGATTAGTACCCTGGGGAGCCACTGGCAGGGGTTGAGTCAGCCATGTCTCCTTCTAAATATGGGCCTGGTCGTGCCCGCACCCTGACAGCACCCCCTCCCCTTGACGTCAGAGAAGTGACTTGGGCAGGAGATGTGCACCAGAAAACTGCGTGGAGGGTCACAGGCCATATCCAGAGTCAGGGAACAGCACGGTGAACAGATCCCCTCTGATTTTAAGTCCTCTGACCTGCTGTCAGATGGCATGTTCAATTTAGTGTTCCAATGGCAGTTACCACGAGGGGAACACAGCATGACCACTCCAGTGTACATGCCCATCCTGTTGGGGAGACAAATTACCTTCATAGAAATGTCTCTCGGGATATTAAGGTAAAGAGAGAAGATGACACGAGTCCTTTCACACACTCAGGAAAAAATATTCTTTGACTGCCATTTAACACGCTCTAGAACATGGAATGATGAAAGACTTCCAAATTCTTCTTTTATGAAACAAGAATTTACAGTACTATAAAAGTCTGACAAAGATATGCAAATAGAAAAAAACCCAAATCCATCTTACTTATGAGTAAATGCCAATGGAAAAAGTTTTTAAAATACTACTAAATAGAACTTACCAATAAACTGAGAGAACAGAATCATAGGACAAATAGGATTCAGCAAAGAATGTGAGCAATGACTTTAATCCTATTCCCTGTGGTGAATGTTGTCTCTGCCAGTTAGTAGCTGTGTGGTCTTGGGCAAGTGGCCAAACCCTTCTGTAACCCTAATTCCTTATCTGTAGAATAGGGGTATCTGTACTCCTTACCTGGTTAGATTGCTGTGTGGAGTAAATTAGCTTTATACTATATATGAAGTGCTTAGAATAGGGCCCAGCACATAGCAAGTTAATTTTCAATTTTGTTACTATTTTTTTTCATGGATACAAGGTATGAGGCAGAATTCTAACTTTTTTTCCCAAAATTTTCCTAATTTGTACATTATAATAATGGCTTATTTTCTTTTTTGAAATATCAGGTTTTATTGTATTCTGAATATCAGGGTCTTCTCTGGCCTTTTAGTCTGTCCACTAGAAGTCTATTCATGAAGTGGTAACATACCACTTAGGTTATATTGTAAAAATATGTTTTAATAAATTGTACAATTGTTCTCTATTACCTTATAAATAAATGTTTTGTCACTGTCCCTTAGTATCATTTTTAACATTACAAAAAAGGAAAACTACAAATCAATACCACTTAAAGATATCAATGTAAAAAGTTTAAATGAAATAATAGTAAATTTAAGTAGTAAAATTATTATAATTTTTTGAACTTAAAAAATTATTTTAATAATATTTGATATGTTTACTATATTGCAGGGGGAATTGTGTACTTTCCAGATACACAAATATTCTTTTAATTATCTCCGTATATTTTAAGTTTTCTTATAATGACTCTTCTATCTTTATTGTTAAATCAATTTATTATTTGTTTCATTGTTATAGTGAATTGGCACTCTTCCCCTGTTATATGTTCTGTTAATTGTGGACATATAGGAAAGCTGTTGGTCAATATTATATGTTTGCTTTTTAAATATATGGTGTTCTTTCTCGCTCTTTGTTTTTTAGTTATAGAATGTTTTTCCCCTTGAATTTCTCCTGACTTTTCTAGGTCATCATATCTAAGGAGCCACAGACTGATATTTAAGAACCTTTGCACAAAAACAATACCTCTTGGCTTGAGCTAACAAACAGATTAGGTTAATCTCTCTCCGCTTCTACACCACTCCATCTCTCTATCCCTCCGGACCATACAAAAAATAAACAATCCACCACATTAATAAAAGCATACTCTGTGTACCATGTTAGACTAAGGGCTTATTCTTGACTTTATAGAGAATAAGTAGTTTACACACTGACACAAAGCAGGTAGATGGCAGAGCCAGGATTACAAACCAGATCAAGCTAATTCAAAGCTTTAAACCAGAGCACTTGGAAGCCTCTTTAGACTTTGAGGCAGGTGTCAATCAGTGCTCACTGTCTCTGAGTGTAATGTCTGGTTGATGGGTGTCTAATCATGTAAGCACATGGGATATAGACAGCCACCTAAATATCCTGCACTTGATGTTCAGTCTTCTGCCAAAAGGTCTAGGGAAGAGCAACAAACTCCTCAGTCAGCTCTATTTGCACATTATAGACAGGTTAGGTAAAACCAATGTATTTTTATTATCATGAAAGCCAATGCATACAAAAGTTTTTTTGGTAATTTATGACTCATCAGCCCTTTCAAAGTTCTCTCTCTGCATCTAGCTGAATTTCAGCATAAGTTGACAGAAACTTTTACATTTTCCATGACTTTTTAATAGTACATATTTTACAAATTTTACTTATATGGGCAAAACCATCTCTAGAATAACTTTAGCAATCATAATCTGCCCATCAATTAATATGAATGACACACTTTCTCTTTCCATTCCCCGACAAACACTATCAGGTTCAAAAGAAATGATCAGCCACAGTACTTCCCACATGAATTCTTGCCCTAACATGTATTTGTTTTTCAGAAAACCCTTCACATAACAATTTATTAAAATTTCACTCCCTGATGAACATCCTGGAAATTTTATAGATTTTGTTAAAAGCAATAATTAACAATGGTAAACAATGAGACATTAACTATACACCATTAGAAAGCAAGCCCTTGGAAAGAAGCATGGTTTCTATTCACTACATGATTTGTTTTTATTTTGTTTGATCAGCACAGTTTATAAATGCACCAGGCCTCTTTCAGATTTCATTTGGAGAAGTCAATGTCCAAGGGCATATTTTAAATTAATCTAACCTGTTTCTGAGAGATAAGCTAAATTAGTTCTTTAAAAGGAGGATGTGAAATGCAAACTTATGTATTCATCATTATATTTAGCTTCAAGAAATAGCCTTGCATAACCCCAAAGTGGATTTAAATGATGACTAAAACTCAGCTTCAGGCTAGAAGCTGATATAAAAGCTCTTAAAAGTATATGCATCATAATTTTCTATAGTCATGGGTTTCATTCAGTGTTTCAGATTTGTTTTTACATTCACATCATCGTTTAAATTATGAGAATGCAATCCAGTCAGGTCAATCAATATACAGTAAGCATCCTTATGTACTGTGGATATAGAAAAGGTGTGTAGATATGGTCTGTCTACAGAATGAAGTCTTACTATGGAATGTATTAAGCAGTTACAGAAAAATAAAAAGAATCATGGAAAGGATTAAAAATGCATGGTTTCCTAAAGCTGTGTTACACCCTTACATTCTCTCAGTTGTTGACCTTTGTTCCCTGGTTTGATCACAACCTGAAACCTACTTCTTTATAATCTAATTGGTGCCTCTAGAAACCTCAGATGTAGGGCTGGTGATGTAGCTCGCCGGTAGAGTATGTGTTTATCATGTGTGAGGTCTTGGATTTGATCTCCAGCACTGCAGAGAGAGAAAGAGAAAGAAAGAAAGGGAGAGGGGATCTTGGATGGAGGTCTCTTTACCCATTAGGAGAGTACCATTTATTTGAGAATAATATTAAAAATTAAAAAAATAAAAAAATAAAAATACCAGCACATAAAGCCTAAGCAGCCAATAAAAATTAAAAAGAAGGAAAAGAGGAGTTCCAGGGAAAAGAAGGAAGGGGTCTGGAGCCACTTCAGTTGGTAGCAAATTCTCCTCTGACCTATTCATTTCTTAACCAGTAACAGTCTTGAAGATCTCTAGACTGTAACTTCCTGGAAAGAAGACAATTTTTATGTTGATTGTTCCAATGCCTGCACACACTAGACATTTATTATTCTCTGCATGCTTGATTTTTTAACAAGTGCGAGTAAATAAATGAATGTGTCTCTTTGGTAAGCTTTAACATACAAGATTCATTAACAGAGTGCAACTTTGGATAAAGCATCCAAATAAACAAAAATTTTCCTTTAAAACAATCTGTATGTCAATGCCAATATTTGCTTTTGATAGTTGGTTACAACATACACGAACAAATTAAGTACCAGAGCAACAGTGATGGAAGACTGCTGTATTCTTTTGGCTTTGCATGTA